TCACACCAAACTACTGAAAAGTCAGTAAGAATAAGACCTTGACAGATGGAAAACTGTGTTCTTTGTAATCTGGATTCATTTTCTGAATATCGCTCTTTGAAGGAGTGCCTAAAATTTTTATAATTTCTACAACCTGACTCACACCCGAACCTCCAGGGAATACAGGTCTTCCAAGAAGCAGTTCAGCCAACACAGTACCAGCTGACCATATGTCGATGCTGAAGAAAATGGAAAAAACAATACATGATTGACGACTGACAGTAATTTAGACTCCCTTGAGGGTATTAATTCCAATACAGAAAACATTGAGAACGACGAAGAAAATAAGAACAGTGCCTCTTTTTTGAAAGAAACCCAAACCTCTTAGGATAACTAAATATCCTACCTATTAGTGTAGCGAGTAGCACCAAACATAAGTTCCGGAGCGCGATAATAGCGTGAACAAATATAAGCAACATTTGGCTCATCTTTCACTAAATATTTTGCGGAACCAAAGTCACAAAGTTTGAGAACAGAAGTTTCGGTGTCGATAAGTAAATTCTGAGGCTTTATATCACGATGGCAAATGCCTGTTATAGGAAAAATGGGTCATTCAAACTCCACATATACCGTTCCCACCTGACCCAACAGTTCACAATCAAAAATCCATATTTCATTAAACGAGGAAATATTACATACATCACCGTCCATCTTTTTCCGAAAGTTGCCCAGGATAAAGAACTAAGCAATGCATGAAGTTTATAAAAAGCTTAACAACAGAGACTTCCCATAATCAAAACAAACTAGATCTTAACTCTCCAAGAAAAAAATCAATGAGCTTTTCTTCCGGTCTATTAGCAGCTGAAAAGAGAGAAAAATGATCCATAAGAATTGAACAAAAATTATTTGGAGTCTTTACAAAATAGAAACAAAAACACTTTAATCAATCAGAACGATAACTTTTGTAAAGACTACAAACAAATGAAAATGAACGCACACTTTATTCTCGAAAATCTACAATAAGACTCCACTGCAAAAAAATATTCTACATTTAAAAATTTAATAGATGTTTTGCGATCATACGCATAATCGCTCACCTAATCTGTGGATGTACGCTAAAGCTCGTAGTAACTGAAACATGTAAAGTTTCACGTAAATTAAGGGTATCGCTTCTCGCAACCTTGCATAATGTTTCGCTACATGATATATCGTATCAGGTACGTACCTGAAGTGTTATGACAGAGTGGAAATGATTCGCAATAGCAGAGAAGAACTAAAGAAGAAAATTTCCAATTTACATTCGGGTTTTCTTTTATTACAACTAAACAGTTTTTTGCTGCATAGCACAGCTTCAAACAATCGAGAAAATAAATTTAAAAAACGAACTCAAGGATAAGATTAAGATAACGATCTTCCTGTTTTTCGTCATCAGTATAATAAAAATATTTCAGTTGAACTATATTTTTGTGGTTTATTTTTTGCATAATTTGTAACTCTCTATTTTTAAACCGTTTATCCTGCAAAACTTTTTTTATTGCTACCAGTTCATCAGTTCCTGCCAGCTTTGCCATATAAACAGTGCCAAAAGATCCATTACCAACAACCTAAAAGAAAGAAATTCCTATGTTTTTGACCATATCTCTAATACTCTATTAAATACATTTTAAACACAGAAAAATAAATGTCGATAAAGAATAGTTAACAAGCTCATGGCCAACTGTTATTTTTCTCTACTGTAGCTAATAATTTTAAATGCCTACCCGGTTTCACTTTTAGTACAAAGAACGCAAAACTGTCAAAGAATGAGAAGTCGCAGAGGGGGACTGGTAAGGTAAGCTGATAATTAAGCAAATAATTCCTCCACTCAAGAAATTTAACTCATTAGCCTTTAATGAAAGAAAACAGAAACTTTGCAAAAAATCAATAAATTATAGAGATTATGAAGAAAAATGACAAACTTTAATATCTGTGTACTGCAGTTGAACCTCCCTTTCCGGACACTGTCCAGAGGTTGCAATCACTGACGTCATGTGAGATACCCGGTCTTGATGAGGACGGAAATTTTGAACGGCCTGCCACAAAAAATTTTTACTCATACGAACGTATTTCTTCGTATAAGCATTTATTCTATATTCACCACCTTAAGAAAATCCTAAAACGAACAAAAAAGAGATATCGAAACGTTACTAAAACGTAACATAAAAAAATAGATCATTTTTAAATGACATAAATAAACAAATATGAACATATAAATTTGAAAAAATAAATATATCTAAATATATTTATTCATTTGTATTTATTATTGTATAAATTAAGTAAAACTAAACATACTTACAAAGATTAGCTTAGAGAAATGAATGATAATAAATTAAAAGAAACCAAAACCGCAGAAAAATTTAACGAACAGGAAACGATCTCGTGACCGCTGCTTAAGAATTAACACCTTTACTCAAGATTTAGTTCCAACAAATGAAATATGTTGAGGAAGGTCGACAAGCAGCAGAAAATGTGAGAAATAAGGTAAACAAAATTATTTGTTAAAAATGGAATGACCAAAAATTCTAACAGAAAAAAAAAAAAGTAGAAAACCTATTTTGGCTTATTTAACGAACTAAACAGAATTAACAAAGGCATTATCATAAAAACAATGCAGACAGGCGAAAAGAAAAATATAAAGTCGTAAAAAACCCTACTGATACACTCAGGTCAGCGATGATCAGCTTTTAATTAAATGAAAAAGCTACCCATAAACATTCTCAACAATGCGCTGAAAGCAAGACTGAACTCTGTGCACTATCGCCGAACCTCTGTTCTTCCGCAGATCTTTTTCAGGTCCCAGTAGACAGTAAATTAAGAATCATTGGTTTTTCTAAAAAGTATTTAAAACAAGCTTTCATTTTACGAGTTACGTTACAAATAACTGCAGAAAAAAAATTATAACAACAAATAAACCACCAAATAAGCAGAAATAAAGCATCAAAAAGCGTACAACGGTGGCAGAAAAAGTCACTCGGTTTAGTTTACCGCGTCCATTAAAGGTTCCGTTGCTGAGACTGGTGCTTAATTCAAAAAAATTACAACAGCATATAGCAGCTTAATTATCAAAAAGCTTATCTTCAAAATTTTGGTAGTTTTATCCGCAATTTTTTCTTGATTTCACACTATTACCTTTCAAGTTAGCTTATTGATGCGTCGCCTAAGATGGAACTGGTTCAGCTGTATTTCTTCCTCTCTATTCTAATAATTTACAATAAGATATAAAGAGTCTGCTTTTTTTTGCTTGTACAAGCAAAGATTCAGATCAATGGAAACTCTCTGTTGAGGTTCCAGAGCAAACAGTACAAATCTTGTGTTATCTTTTTTTCTAAAATAAATTTCTTGTATGAAGTGTGATCTTATTATTTGTGCAATGTTTATGCAGTCATACATTGTCCAATGATTATCGTTCAGCTGTTTACCTTCTCTTTTTCTTTTCTCGACAATTTATATACAACATTTTGAATTTTTGCTGGGTTTTGAACGGAGAACAATGATCGATAAAATCCGCCCACTTCTAAGATCTTCTCATGTTTGGTTTTACTAAACGGATGTAACTTAGTGGAATTCTTTGTCAAGTCCTATTTTCTGCAATTAAAAACTTAAAAATAAAAGTTTTTTAACTTTTACCCCGTTTACCTTCAAGAAAATTCTGTGTCCGTCAGAAAAAGAAAAAAAAATAGGCAATTTTCCAGTTTAATAGTGCATGTGACATATTTCATGACTGTTTAACAATTGACTGCGCTCAGTTTCAATTCTTCCTTGCTCCTTTTTGGATCAAATAGTTACATATAAGAAATGTTGTCTAATGTAGTTCTTATTTTAAAACCGTTCTTTAACAAATCATTTTAAGATTGATTTGAGCATGAACAACTTGCTGTAGTCTCCAGAAAATCTATCTGTTGTACGCCATAGATACATTATACATGTTGTCATTTATTACAGCAGGGAAATTGACAAATAGAAATACTCATCTTACATTAAAAAAAAAAAAAAAAAAAAGTTGACGTAAGGTAGACTAGAACAACCGACAGATGTTCTGATATTATTGTGCCCTTTGAGTTCTACAAATCTTTTTTTT